GCACTCTCCTTCTCACTCACGCTCTCTCCAGCGCCCTCCCTCCCTCTTCCACCCTCACCCTCCCACTCCCTCCCTATTTCCCTTTCTCTCTTCCTCTTTCCTTCTCCCTCTCTCTCCGGAAACCACAAAGGAGAACCGCGAGAATCGAAGAATCATGTATGTATTGTCTCTATTGTCTATTTTCGATTCCGAGCTACGAGACTACTAAGCAGAATTTACTGCGCCATGAATGGGACACATGTTGAATGGGACATTTCAATTACCTCAAAAATTATGAATCTTTTTATGATAAAATTGTACTTGTTTTCTAACTATATTATGCATAAATAATCACACGTAATTTGAAACCGCTACCGGATAATACGTAATCATGGCAGACAATTAATTTTGTCCATGCCTGAAAATAATTTTTATACTTTATATTATATATAATATAATATAATAATATAAAATATTATATTATAATATATTTTATATTATATATAATTTATATAATTTTTATGAGCTATTGTATGAGCTATTGTTACTTTCGACTGAGTATTTTAATTATCGCATTCGATCAGGTATTTCTTCAAAAATCTTGGCATACAGCATCGAACAATTTTGTTTATTATAGAAATTATACAAGTTAAAGTTTCAATGTTGTTACCAAATTAATGAATGGGGCACAGAGAATGTTTATGGATGGGATATAAGATGAAATAAAAAGTAAAGAAAATTTAAAACATGTTAGAAGTATTCTTGAAGATAATTTAGTTAAGAAGCAATGAAGATTCGTATCGGTGCAAGATGCCCTATAAAAGGTGCTTCAAATTTTTGCTCTTATTATGCCATTAAATTTTGAGATATTTATTAAGATAAGTTTGAAGATATCTTTATTCAAAAATTTTTGTCAATTTTCTTCAGTTTCTTCATATCGAAACGATTATTTCTCGTGTCATAAAATACTCTAATATTTATTTTTAATTCATGATCCCCCATGGTCATAATATTAACCAAAGATGCAAAAGCAAGGTTTATGTAATTCAAGATCATTATAATCATCATAATACTATATATGTACTTACGATCATTAAAAAAAGCAGTACATATAATATTTTGCTACATAATATTGCACAATATTTTGTTACACTGTCCCATTCATAAAAATGAGTACCCCATTCACAATTAGTGAATGGGAGAAAATGCATCTTTTAACAAAATTAAAAATAAAAAACGCAAAAGATAAAGAAAATGAATAAAAAATAAATAAATAAATAATTAAAAATAAAATGAAATGAATAAAAAATAAATAAATAAAAAATTAAAAGTTAAAAAAATTAAGAATAAAACGCAGGTGAAACTCATCGACACCGTGCATTCTTATAGCAAAAGAACTGATCTTTCGAATATTTGAAACAAGAATTGGATTAGAATTAAATTAGTCGCTCAGTGTTTTTCCTTACTTTGTCCTAAACAAAAGTGTCCCATTCGTGGTAGTCCTTCCCAACATCGAGGAATTGTAACGATTAACGGAGTCTTCCACCTATGTCCGGTCAGTTATTCTAATGTTGGTCTCGCAACGAGCGGAAGAACAAGTGGTCCGTTTTTTCGGCACCGAGTCGTCGAGGAGGAACCTCGAAGCCGAGCTGGCCAAACAAAGGGGCACAGTCCCGACGATTCTAGAGGGTATCGTAATCTTGTACGTTCTTGGATTTATTTGGGAGGAAATTAGAGAGGTACTGGTAACCTTAATTGCCAACCACCTCGAGACATTCTAGCCTGCTTGAACTTTCAAGGCCTACGTGGACGGCTTGAAAGGCTACCTGCGCGACATGTGGAACTTCATCGACTTTGTCAGGAACTCTCTCTATATCGGGACCATTCTGCTAAGGATCGCGGCGTATGTACAGCAGAACGCTGAGATTAACCAAGACTCGATGGCGGCTTTGGTACCGAGAGAAAATTGGAGCGACTTCGATCCCCAATTGATAGCAGAAGGTCTGTTCGCAGGTGCTAACGTCTTCAGCGCCCTGAAGCTGATCCATATGTTCAGTATCAATCCTCATCTCGGACCTCTTCAGGTACCGCTGCGTTTCTCTCTATGGAAAATTAGGCGCACGGGAAAATTAGAAAACTAATAAACATAATGTAATATATAAAATCGGGATATATTATCGGGATACAATCAATATTAAAATCGGGACTGGGATTCGAGCCTCGATCTCTCTCGCTCGTCGGGCGAATGCTTTAAGACCCATGTCTGGATTTCATTGCTTAGTATTTGAGTGTACAGAGTGGGGCATTTGAAACAAGACACCTGAATAACTCGCTTGTTTTTGACGATAGGAAAAGAAGTGTTGAACAAAAGTTGTTTGATTTTATAGGGCAGATTAAATGACGTCAATAATTTTTTTATACATGGAGGCGTAGAGGACATATGAAGGTCAAACTTGATTTTCCAAATGGGACGATCTAATTTTTTATTCACATTCTGATAGAGCTTTTTAAGACGAATGCAATGACCTACAAATGAAGGTCATTCAAGGTCACAACGTATGAGCTACAATGAAAAACGAAGCACCTGTAAAAAAATTATTCACATCGTACAATGCGCCACTCGAAATCAAGCAAATTCTGCTTGGCATATTTTTTTAATTATCAAAAGCAACCGGGTTATTCAGATGTCTCGTTTCAAATGCCCCACCCTGTACATGTATCAGTTACATATGTTTCTTGTTAGATTTTGCTGCATAGGTTTATAGGCATTCTGTGTGTCTGTATTTCGTACCATATTCATTTTTAGCTTTGCAGACCACTATTCTAATATTAAAAATGATTAAAGAAATACAGTAAATTCTCTCCAATTGTCCCACAGCTTTTAACCAAAAATGGACAACTTGGGAAGAAGAGATACGATTATTCGAACCTTGCGACTTGTTTTTATAATTGTCCAGGATCGGCAACCATAAAAATGAGTTGCAAGGCTCGAATAATCGTATCTCCTCTTCCCAAATTGTCCATTTTTGTTTACAAGCTGTGGGACAATTGGGGAGAATTCACTGTACATCAGAATGACTTTTGGTCCTAGAATTGTGTAAATATTGCCATAAATGCTTATAAAACCGGATTTTCAGTCAAACAAATGATAGGAATAATTTCGACCGTCCAAATCAACGAAATACAGTAAATTCTCGATTATGAAAAATAGAATCGAAAGTACAATTATTCAAGCCTCACAGCTCGTTATTATAGTCGCCGATTGTCAACAATTATAAAAACAAGCCGCAATGCTCGAATAATCGTATCTCCTCTTCCCAAATTGTCCATTTTTGTTTACAAGCTAAGAAACAATTGAAGAGAATTCACTGTATATTAGAATGACTTTTGGTCCTAGAATTGTGTAAATATTGCCATAAATGCTTATAAAACCGTGTTTTTAGTCAAACAAATGATAGGAATAATTTCGACCGTCCAAATCAACGAAATACAGTAAATTCTCGATTATGGAAAATCGAATCGAAAGTACAATTATTCGAGCCTCACAGCTCGTTATTATAGTCGCCGATTGTCAACAATTATAAAAACAAGCCGCAATGCTCGAATAATCGTATCATCGCTTCCCAAATTGTCCATTTTTGTTTACAAGCTGTGGGACAATTGGGGAGAATTTATTGACGATTGATTCTCTCCTGGTCCTTATAACGCAAAGACCTCAGAAATGCCGATTCCTACAGACAGAACCACGTTCATTCGCATTGATCTTCCCCCAGATATCCCTCGGTAGAATGGTGATTGACATCATCAAGTTCTTCTTCATCTACACCCTGGTGCTCTTCGCCTTCGCTTGCGGATTGAACCAGCTGCTTTGGTATTTCGCCGAATTGGAAAGACGGAAATGCTATGTCGGCTATGGAGACATTTCTTGGGACGCTACCAGTGAACCTTGCCTAAGATGGAGGAGGTAAAATGATCCACTTCATGTCATCATCAATAACATCAATCCTGATTTCGTTTTCGTCGTCCACAGATCTTGCACAGTGCGACAAATAAGTTTCGAGACTAGCTGAAGAAAACATCGTTGAAACAAGAAACATGAATATTTCTCGATTTTTTTATTCAAAATAGTCTCCTCCAGTTTTAATACACTTGTTACAGCGATTCAACGGTGATCCAAATGCGTGTTCTAGCTAATTTTGTGGAATCGCCTCTAGCGCTCGTGTTGAAGCTGTTTTGATGGTCGAAATGTCATTAAAAATACATTCTTTCAACCTCAATTTCAATTTTGGGAATAGAGGGAAGTCACACGGGGCCAAATCAGGCGAATACGGTGAATGATTCAACGCACAGACTCGATTTCGAACCAAAAATTGACGAACAATGAGCGAGGTGTGACTCGGTGCATTATCGTGCAACAGACACCAGGTCTCTGGATCACGATATTCGGCTCGAATACGACGGATTCTGACCATCAAACGCTTCAAAACCTCGAGATAATATGTTCCAGTAATTGTTCGGCCAGTTGAAACGAATCCCTGTGGATAATTCTTTTGCTATCGAAGAATGTAACGAGCATTGTCTTGATTTTTGATGGAACTTCCGTGCTTTTTGGCTTGTGGCGAATCTTTCGACTTCCATTCCGCACTTCAACGCTTGGTTTCTGGGTCGTACCGAAAGCACCATGTTTCGTCACCCGTAACAATTGATTTTAGGAAGTTTGGAACATTTCTGGCGGCTGCGACGACTTCTTTGGAAAGATCGACACGCAACGATTTTTGGTCATATTTCAATATCGATGAGAAAGTTGTTTAAGAAGAACTGTAATAACTTTGCTATTTATCAACGGATTGAACCAAAATTGATATTACCGGAAAGAGGAATGTCACAGCTTCCAAACGCCGGTCTAAAAAAAAAAGATGGCGCTATTAGTTACTGAAATATGGTCCGAGTCTCGAAACTTATTTGTCGCATTGTGTACTATCGAGATTTCCTGGCATAGGCCATGTCATGGTGGAATTATTTTCCCAACACTTCGCTTTCCCATTGCATCTACAGTGGCACAGAGAAGTGTTCGTAATTTAAAATGCACGAACTACTTTAAAACTGAACTAAATGATTTGCATTTTTTTTTGATAGAGGGACTAGTCTGGTAAACGATGATTGAAAAATGCTTTCTTTTTTAATTTTACTATTACTTGGAGTGACAACAAAATAAAAATTTGTTGTTTTTTAACTTCTTTATCTGAGCCCAAAGATCAGCAATCGCAGTTTTGTTCGTTCGATGTCCACCCGAAAGCCACGACAATAAGAACCGCGCGATGGCTGACCGTGTAAATCTAAATTCTCTGTCGTCTACAGGTTCAGCAGTCTGTTCGAATCCTGTCAGAGTCTCTTCTGGGCCAGTTTCGGAGGGATTGGAATCGAGAGCTTCGAACTCACAGGTGCGTCGATGTTCCTACAATGCATTTAGATTTCCTACAACGAATTCTTTTTAATATAAAAGTTGAACATTTTACTTTCGCTCACAAATTGCCCCATCCTAGACTACTGTGCGTTGAGATTGGGGCATGGTCAAGAAAATATTGAGAAACGCTGATTTAAAGGATCCCAATTCAAATGAGAAACTTTAAGGATTCCCTTCGATGTTTTTATGTTTCCCATTACAGGGATCAAGACGTATACACGATTTTGGGGCTTATTGATGTTCGGCTCTTACTCCGTGATCAACGTGATCGTCCTACTGAATCTTCTGATAGCTATGATGAGCAACAGCTACGCCATGATAGAGGTGAGTGCAATGTGTACGCGAGAAGTCACTACGCAAGGAGTGGGGGCAGGCGACGCATGCGCGGAAGTCCCGTGCAGCGGCGCGGGGCGTCTACCGAACGAGCATTACAATACTGAACCACGATGAAACAAAGGTTCTGCGTTGTGTCTCGTAGTTCAGAATTGTAATGTTCGACCGGTGGACGTCCCACGCCGCTGCGCGAGACTTCCGCGCATGCGCCACCTGCCCCCACTCCCTGCGTAGTGACTTTTCGCGTATACACTGGGTGAATGGCTTTCACTACTACATTTGCATAACGTTAACACGATCGCTACCAGCATCTGTAAAGCAAGTCTCGCTCCACAGTCCAGCATGATCGTGGTTAAAATATGTCTCTATTGGCACGGGTCTTTTCAGGATATACAGTGGGGGGCAAATATGTGTGGACACTCTTTAAAACGGTGTAACTATTTTAAAACTGGACTAAATGACTGGTCTAAACGAATTTTTTTTAGGTGATATAGGGACTAGTCAAATTCTACTTTTATTTGGAATGTCAAAAAACAAATAAATAAGTCACGTATTCTGGCTTTTTTATTTAAGCTTAGAACGAAAATTTCAAAAATGAGTTCTGTATATCTGGATAACTTATACAGGATGTCCCAAGAATGTCTCGCGATCTGGAAATGGGGGTTTCCTGAGGTGATTTGAAGTAACTTTTTCCTTAGCGAAAATGCAATCCGTAGCTTCGTTTACGAGTTATTAAGGAAATACACTGACCAATAAGAGATCGCGCACGACTGACGCTCCGCCCTTCGCGACCACTGCCGCTGCGTCAGACGGCCAGCGCGTCGCGGCGTGGACCGCAAGGGCGGAGCGACGGTCGTGCTCGCCTCTCATTGGTCACTGTTTCTTGTTAATAACTCGTATAAACGAAGCCGCAAATTGCATTTTCGCTAAGGAGAAAATTACTTCAAATTACCTCAGGAACCCCTCATTCCCGGATTGCAAGACATTTTTGGGACACCCTGTACACATATCAAAAATTTCGTCGAAATCGGACGACATCGCTATCATTTACAAAGTTACAACAATATAAGCTGCAGAATCCATTTGAAATCTGAGACGACAATGGAAACAGGAAAAAACTGCCTTTGTTGGTACGAATAATTTCGTGGACTGATATTGTATAGCACGAAGATTAAAATTTCACTGTTTCCTTTGTGCTCGTTACTCACAGTCTTGTTGTAATTTCGTACAAGTAATCCTTATACCGCAGTAAACAATTTATTGCAGAATCTCGAACGCGTCACTTGATTTCAACAAATCTTTTTTTATAAACAGCAAGGTTACGAGTACTTACTTATGGGACTGACTGTATGCGTCGCTAGTATCGAAAGGGTTAAGTAATGAAATATCGCAGGAACGATCGGACACGGAGTGGAAGTTCGCCAGGACGAAACTGTGGTTGAGCTACTTCGAGGAAGGCGGCACGCTGCCGCCGCCGTTCAACATCCTGCCGCCGCCGAAGCTGATCCTGCGGTTCTGCGGTCTCCAGAAGAAGGCCAGCGGGGATAGCCACGATCGCGGGCGCTCGCACGATTCCAGCAAGTAATAGCCTATCCCCGAGCCAACTTTATATAGAGACCTCCTAATAAGAGACACGCAGTAAGGGTAAAGTTATGTCGTTGGCACTGTGCACGTGGCACTGTTGCCGTGCCAAATGTCACGTGATTCTGTCGGTGACGTCATGTAGAGGGCAGCAGGGATTCCGGCGATGTATTACGATGCTCTCGCGTTTGTGATTGGTCAGGTCGCGTCAATCGACTACGCTGCCCTCTATGTCCATTCTGCCGAACTGCTCAGCAGTGACGTCACCGATGGACGTCACGTGACATTTGCGATATTGCACGGCAACGATGATCGTTGGACGCCATTTTTCGGCACGTTCACGGGCCATCTACATGCACGCGTGATGAACGTGACCAAATAAAATGGCAACACAGTCGGTCGTACTATACCGACGAGCAAAATTAAAGGATCAAAAAATGTTGATCGAAAAATGGCGAATGTTCGAACCGCTGTAACTTCGTTAAAAAAGATCGTACAGAGATGGATCTTCGCTCATTTTAAAGAACGAAGTCTCCACTTTTTTACTCTTCTTTCAATTTCATTCGAGATGCTACTTTACTTGAACACGAGGCGATAGCGCGAAGGTACTTTCATCTCACAGAAATTATCCAACATCAAATGTCTGCACGAAGTTTAAAAAATATTTTTCGGGTTTTTTTTCCTGTAACGAGATTAAGGCGTCACATTTTAAAGAGCGAAAACTTAGCTTCTTTTTATAAAAAAAATTGGCTGCTACTTGGTGCTATTGGAATAGTTAAAGGAACTGTTATACAGAGTGTTCCAAAATGATTGTATAAGCGTGAAATGGGGGGTTCCCTGAAGCTAACCAGCGCACGAAGCCCAGCTCCGCTCATTGGCTCGATCGCTTCGCGCCAGCTGAGCTCGCCTCTCATTGGTCACTGTTTTTCGTTAATAACTCGTTAACGGTGCCTCGGAGAACATTTTTGTAAAGGAAAAAGTTACTTCAAATGGCCTGAGGAACCCGCCATTTCCGTATTGCGAGACATTTTTGAGACACCCTGTATATACAGTATCAGATTCTATAGAGTACACATCAGACTCTGCCGTCCAGAGAAATAGCCTCGCGCAGAATTCAACCGTACCTAAAAGGTTAATTAGGAAATAATTTCTGATACGGTTGACTTATGGCAACATCTAAAGATTACCAGCTTCGCAATTATTTTACAACAAACACGGCAATGTTTCATTCGAATCTAGCAGTTGTTCTCTTTCTTCTTGGCAATCGGTAGACAGCGGATTTTATGCATTTATGACAAAATTGTGTAGTTACAATTTGTAATAGTGGTAGTAGTAGTAAAGGAAGAAGTTGCTTCAAATGATCCGAGGAACCCGCCATTTCCGGATTGCGAGACATTTTAGGGACACCCTGTAGACCGTTGTAAATCGATGCGAAGACAAAAAAAGTGCGAAACAATGCATATGAAGACGATTATTTGATTCAAACGATGAGCGAGTGAGCTACCAGAGCAAGCCACTATAGTGGCGCGTCATCCAGAGAGATGACATCCGCGAAAGCCACTATAGTGGCGCGTCGTGCCTAAAAGGTTAAGGGTTAAGTCGTTTAATCGAGGTGACGAAGTTAGCTGAGAAACACCCTGTACGTGTAATTTCGGTCGGGAAAATATTTTTTTACTGTACGTCGCATCCCTTATGTCCGCTTCGACGAGGTCCTTTACGAGGTGCTTATTTGTCTGCTGGCGATAGGTACGGGGCGGTGATGAGGGCGCTGATATGGCGGTACGTGGTCAACGCTCACTCCGAGCACGAGACGGACCCGGTCACCGAGGACGACGTGCACGAGCTGAAGTCGGACCTCTCCTCGTGGAGATGCGAGCTGTTAGAGGTGCTCAGGAAAAACGGCATGGACATCGCCGGCGCTGACACCAAGGAGAGAAGTATGCGTTGTGCTCGATGTTGCCGTCTCAGCTGATGCGTCAGCGTAGCGAATAATTCTAAATATCGCGATCGTCCAACAGCTATCCTAGGAAAGAAGATGAGGGTCTGGGAGAGAAGGCTGATGAAGGACTTCCACGTGGCGACACAAATGGCAGGAGGGTCTATAGACATGGGGGATGAATTGTTGAGGCCGCCCGAAGGCGAAGATAACGTCGCGAGGTGGAAGAGGATCGCCAAATTAGTCGTGCAGCAAACGCCTAATCAGCGATGGACACAGGTGAGATGTACAGGGTGTATGAAAATTATGTGTAGCGAGCACCGCTGCGTGATCCTACCCCCCTTGGATCGGTGAAGATCGACTAAAAAATGGACCGCAAAATGGTACTTGTTCCTGAAAATCGGGATCGAAGGGACAGATTTGTTTCGTTGCGACGTGTAGTGCTCGTCGAGAGGAACGAAAGTCTGAAAGGAGCCGTGGTTCTCAAAGTCAACCCTTTGCATAAGAAACGATGTTAAAAATGACATCTAAAAATTATATAGGGTGTATCCAAAATCGTGATACAATAGTCCGGCAAAGTGATTCTACGTGCAAAAATAAGTGAGAAAGAAGGAATAAAATTTCTACACGTTCTATATATTCGTAGACAAATACAGAGTGGTCAGTAAGTAGTGGTACATGGAAATCGTCTCAGATTCGGATCCTAAAATTATAGTATTTCCGGGAAAGAGAGGTTCCTGAGATCATTTGAAGTAACACTTTCCTTAGCGCAAATGCAATCCGCGGCTTTGTTTACGAGATATTGACGAAAAACAGTGGCCAATGAGAGACGAGATCAGCTGGCGCGAGGCGGCCGAGCCAATGAACAGAACTGGGCTTCGTCCTAACGTTGGCTCGGCCGCCACGCGCCGGCCGATCTCGTCTCTCATTGGTCTCTCTATTTCTCTTAATAACTCGTAAGCAAAGCAATAGATTGCATTTTCGCTAAGGAAATAGTTACTTCGAATGACCTCAGGAAGCCCTCGTTTCCTCGAAATACCATAACTTTGGGACACCCTCTATATATAAATATAAATTATCCTAGTTATCTATATTTCTTCAAAATAGTAGCATGTCTAAAAAAGAGGTTACAATAAAAATTTAACACCTTTGTATTCTTCTTAAGGAGATATTATCAAAAAGATAAAGAATTTTCGTTTAAATAAAAATCTTTGCCACCGCCATGATTTATAGTATAATTGGAATTTTTCCACTCGTTAATTATCTCTTTGTAAAGGATGATGTGTATGTTAAACTCATCAGACAACTCCGTTTCGAAAGGTGTCCATTAGGATGGTCCTTATTTTTCGAATTTCGATCTTTTTTTTGACGTCAATTCGATCGGATAACGGCAAAGCGTATCGACGGAGCTTTAAAGCTTCGAACTTTTGCTATTTTTTTTTTTTTTTTTGAAAACATTGTACGGATAACATGCATCGAATAAGTTTGCTTGACGCACGACTGACGAGATGTTTCTTGCACGTTTGCCGATTATTATCCTCGCGATCCTCAGGTTGCGTGCCGGTTAATTCCGAGCCCTGCCTTAAGCGATAATAAACACACTAGGAATCTCTAAACGTTCGAACGCTATTATCTCGAAAATCGTTAGGAGTATGAAAAATATGAGTATAACAAACCTGTCGGAAATCATATTACCTTTCAATCTTATTTCAACGAAATTTCGATTAAACCTACCGTTTTCGAGAAATTCGGTAGAATTGCCTAGAAGTTAGGACGTCCACGCGTCCACGACTGTAAGTATGGGAAGATGTTTAAATCTCTGCCATCATTTAACGTAATTCCAGGTGGTGAGTAGCGCCATAAAGAGCTCGCAGATCGGCAGAAGCAGCAGCAGAGCGTCGTATCAGAGTCAGAAGAACTTGAAGATTGCCATGGAGGAGGCGCAGAAGCTGACCAGCAAGAAGGCGCCTGTGGTGCCTGTGGCGCCCGTCGCTCTGCCGGAGAGCACTGCTTCGACGATCTTGCATGTTCTGCAAGACATCGTAGAGACCGACGAAACAACGACGGATGTGCATGCTAAACCTTCGAAGATCAAGATCAAGGAAGACCCGGTTGCGCCCACCGTGAAGGTAGAATATTGAAAACTCTGCGAACTGAATGAATCTTTTTGTAGAGCGGGTTTAGCAGACGCACGGTATATATGTATCGTTAAACTGAGTGGGCATTCTTGTTCGCAGGTGAAGCTGGCAGCGACAATGGACTATATCGACGAGAGACGTTCTAGCAAAAAGAGTCCCGCGAAGTCCCAAACGACAGGCCAACAATCGACTGGTAAGAATTTTCTTTCTTCTGTTGTCGATGGAAACGGAAATGCTAGATGAAACTCTATTTCCGTGTAGCCCCCTTTTTTATCTGTTTCTTTGATCATTCTCTTTCGTACGGAAGGAGAATTAACCCTTTGCACTCCGCTGTCCCCTCTCGTGGGACATCGTAATTCTAGCATATCACTACTACATTTGCATAACGTTAACACGATCGCTACCAGCATCTGTAAAGCAAGTCTCGCTCTACAGTCCAGCATGATCGTGGTTAAAATATGTCTCTATTGGCATGGGTCTCTTCAGGATATACAGTGGGGGACAAATATGTGTGGACACTCTTTAAAACGGTGTAACTTTTTTAAAACTGGGCTAAATGACTGGACTAAACGAATTTTTTTTAGGTGATATAGGGACTAGTTCAATGTACAATGACTACAATACTGTTTTCAAATTCTACTTTTATTTGGAATGCCAAAAAACAAATAAATAAGTTACTATAACTTATTTTATTATATTATTATATTAATAATATTAATAATATAATAACTTATTATATTATTAAGTTAATGTATTATTTTTAATCCCTGAAGATGATTAAAGGAAGAACGAGATCGCAACTTGGTCTCTATTCCTTGCAATTGGCGCATACAATTTTTATTTTGCATAAAAATCAGCAGTCTATCACTTCTGATTCCGATTTAATTACTTGCCCAGCGTTAAGAAAACATTCTGAAAATACAGAAATGTTCAGAAGATTCTCTTGAATCTATATCACATAATGAAAGTGTTTATTATTATTATTATTATTATTATTATTATTATTATTATTATTATTATTATTATTATTGTAAATATGAATTACAAATGATTCTCACCATTATTCTCATAAAACACAACATGAATTCCGCAATTAATCAACTGCTGGAAAATAACGCCGTTACATATAGTAACAGAATGCTCAAACAGGTAGCCAAAATTACCGACAAGAGATAATTTAGAGATTTACTACGAAAACACAGATGGCGTTACCATATAAAGTCCTGCTTTAAAAAATAGAACATGTTAAATATTGTATGATACATGTGCAGAAAAATCTTGTAAATATTTCTATCTAGAAATTTCTAGCTGTTGCATGACCTAAGATGAATAGATATATATCTACTCATCTGTACTGTGACTCATAGATTTATGGAAATTATTTGATAATATATTAAAAATCATATTTACATTATTGTTTATAGATGCATCAAGTACGTCCACGCATCCCAGTAACGCACCTCAAACTTTGCCTCCTAAAGCTGCAGAAGAAAGCAACGTAGCCGAAGACACCACATTACCAGCATCAGAAAATAAAACAAGTAAAAAACGACTGAAGCCAAACGCTACATCACAAGATAAAGAAAGACTCGTGACCAATGCGCCAAAAACATTTAACACTAGATCACCTCGACGCGGGGGTGGCTGGTTGTGAGCATCGAATCTCATAATAATCACTCTTCAACCCTTAAGCGACCTATGAGACACTGATCTGTGACACAAAATTAATTTGCATTCTACTAATAATCATTTAATAATTTTTAATTATTTCATATATTGAGAGTTTTTATATTTCACTAAGACTACAATGCTGCAACGAGATGTTGCATTTGTCAAGCTCATCTTGTAAGTTCACTTGAGGGTACAATCGAACAAACATGTCTCAAACAACGTGTTGTTACCTTTCGAACGAGCGGTGTTAACTTTTTTTATTACCATATGAAAAAAATTAGAGTATAGAATTAAAAACGATGGACACTGTGTTCTGAAACATTTTTGTCATGCGCGAATAAAGTAGCATGTGAAAGGCAGTAGTGTGTTCGTTCTTTATTTCTTAAAAAATATGTACCAAATAAATCAGTTTCGATCGAACGAAATCGAGACTTACAGGCTAAAGTATCGTGCATACAGGGTGTCCCAGGTTTGAATGTTCAAACTTTGGGGCCCGTTTGCGTGGAATTGATTTTGTCCCCTAACGACAACGCCATCCCCTGACTCTTCGCTCTGATACGAATATGGCCGACCACCAGGGCATCCGGTTTGTTTAATGGTTTCTCAATGGACATATTCGCTAATGCATCCTCGCCGAATATCGATTTCGCGCACATATTCGTCCGGAAAGTCATTTATATTAGTCCGGAAAGTGCCTGAAATATCGGAACATGTCACAGTTACACTCCAACTTTCCACATAATCTAAATAAAAAGAACCTACCTTTTCCGGGGTCAGACTGCGCATGTTCGTGGACTTCAGTAAATGGGCAAGATACTCCCTCAAATCCGATAACGTGGTATTTACAGACACCTTATTCTCCCATTCGAACTCTGTCCACATCTGCCGGAACTCCGGGGCGGTACAGGTTGCTGGGACTATCTAGTCCATGATGTCGTTCAGTACTACGACACTCCTGTCGGGCCCAGCACCGGATACATCGTAAACTAGAAATAATTAAATAAAATTAGGAGGCATTCGAAGGCGTCCAAGATTATTTTCTGTTGTAATAGCTTCTTCTACTTAAAAGCTTGAAATTATGAATGTCCAACTGAATAACTACACCTATATTGCCAAATATAATTCCGTTTTCTGTGAAGGTTACTTTCATGTTGGCCTTGATGCTCGCAAAGTCTCTCGGTGAGAGCACAATGGGCTGTGGCCTCTCCACGAGTTTCAGGTCGCCCATTGTTGCTAACTCCAGAGTGCAATTCTAAAGGGTGACCTCAGTTTGATTCACAATTAATACATCCAACACGATGTCGTATTGGTTGACGTGAACCAGAGCTTCTGCGTACACTGGGTCCGAAAAACCAGTTAACTGGGTGACCTTGCTCAAAGCACTGGGAGCTGGGATGTCTGCACCGGAACCGGGTCTTCCTACAACAGCAGCGCTGAGACTTTGTTCGAACTGCGGGTAAACCGGAGCGACCCAATTGCAACACATTGGTCATTATTAACATAGATTTGGCTTGCATGTGATTGCGCTTTTGTTCATCACTTCCGAGGCCCTTATAACGAAGCGCTAACTTGGCTAAGGTCGTGCCTAATGATGCACCAATGAAGAAGTCACCTTCCATCGTGTACTAACAGCATCAAAAATGCATTTCTCAAAGTTTCTATGACTTGTAAAAATTGCCTGCACAGCGTTACGTCTGACATAGCAGTGTCTGTGCTCCAAACAAGTAATAATTACAGGCATCAGCGGTTCCAAAAGTTCCGGCTCTTTCAATTTACACAGGAATCTGAAAGATGCAATATTCTATCATAATTGTTCAACCAATAAAGAAATGCGTTCGTTCGATCGATACCTGAGGTTCGAGCCTCTGACGAATTCATTAGGATGCTGCAAGTCCTTCCTCTTGCAGACGCTTGCCATCTTTTTTTTTTTTTTTTTTTTTTTTAACGTGGGGGAAATCTGCTGGTCAGACACCCCCGCCGCGCCCGGGGGGGCGGGACGGGGGTAGTGCGAGATTTGACCCGCTAAAACCCCCACGGCGGCCTAGGGCGCTGGCGATTACTGGAGGAGCCACGGGAACTCTTAACGAACACAACCGCGGCTCCCCCTCGCCTGGCCGGCCACCAGGATGGAATGGCGGTGGCCGGCCGCGTCCCGGGGGGAGATTTATCCTCCCCCATGAATAATCTTGGTTCGGCGGTGCGGGGGACCGCTCCCCGCACCGCCACGTCACGACGGCCGCTTTTCAATGAGGGTGCCCAGGGCCCCCGCCCTGGGCACGGCGGCCGTCGGGGTGACGCTTGCCATCTGGAGAAGTTTTCACAGCATTATCTCCCAAAATATTAAAAGAAGCTTTTTGATTGTGTGATCTTGCAGTGGCAGGACAAACCTGATGATAGTCATCAGAAGTCCCGGCAGATGTTCTTCACTCAGGATCATGTGGATGGTCTTCTTCAGGGCTTCAATCTTTGTCTGGGCATCGCCCTTCTCTAGATCCAGCTTCAACTGGAGCTCGTTTAAAGGCTCTGTGTCAGTTGGAATGTTAATGAACGTATAACAAGGTTGCTCCGCGATGGTGCACATTTTCGTTACCGCTGTACAATCTACCAGGGAGACTTTCTCTTACGAACTGCAAATTAAAATCGCATTAAATGTAGCGAAAATCCAACTACTTTGACTGTTTTATTTACGAAACCGATGGGCAATGAGGTTATGTTGACCTCGGATGTAGGTTTCGTGTGCCATTCGAATGCTATGGTAATCGCATGGATATTGTCGTGTTCGACGTACCTGATCACGATGAAATCACGTAAAAATGAAAGCCAACGATATCTTCCCACTGGTCAACTGACATTTATACAAATCCGGAAACAAGGGACAAACATACATGTCAAACCCCTACATCAGGTGACTAGTACTGAGCCAAGTTTAGGTTATATTATATGTGTTTCTGTATATGTGTGTTATGGGTTAGGTTATATGTATATGTATAGGCCACCGTCCACGTCTTCCACATATGTAGAACACTTTGAAACTCTCGCGTTGTTTGTTTCGTAAAATTTCCATCAAACAATGTCGATTAGGCAATTTAACTCTGCCAATCTCTTTCTCTATCTCCCGCCACTAATAATACAATTTTAAACTTAGCTCCGATCAAGAATTCGTTATCAATTCCATATTCTATTAAAACGAACACAAGGTACTCTAGAATGAAAATGTTCGTGCAGTAAAAATTATCCGACACTCGATTATCCAACATTGTTTGATTACAATGTAATTGTAGTTCTATCTGCTCTGTTCTGATTCCGATTTAAAATAGAAGCGTAGTCTAATTATCTGCTACCGTTTTGATCCTGTGCGTTTCTACAGTATTTAATTTTTGTTTGACAGGAGAATCTAATAACTAATGAACATTTGAGCATACGGAAATATTCAGAAGACTCTCCTGGATCTGTCTCACGAGAAGAATTTTTGTTTATCGTTGAAAATGAAGAGTATAAATTATTCTTACTGCGTTTTTTCATAATCATTGGCTGTATAAAAATAGCGTTATTACACGAGATGCAAGAAACAATTATTACTGTTTTTCCAAAGGCTTTGTTTAGTGGCGCCATCTGTAGCACTCTCACAGTTATCATTTGTGAGTGATTTTGACGAATAGTTTGAGCGTTTTGCCGCTATGTGTATTGGCGCTACTTTGATATTTTCAGCAGCAGATAATTCATGCCGGAATTTATATTGCGTCTTATGGAAGTTGCGGCAAGGATCATCTGTGCTCCATATTTACAATAACAAATGACCTTTTCCTGCGTGATATCAATTCAGGAGATTCTTTTGAACACTTCTATGCCCAAAAAATATTAACTGAACCCCTAAATTGTCAGGTTTCATACCATTATTCTTATTAAATTTCATTTTATTTTAACTTTTATTAAAGTTAAAATAAAAGTTAAATACAAATTTTCGTGCATTTTTCTAAAATTAAGAGAATCATTGTCGTCAGCTAATAATAATGTCATTTCCACTTTATCTTCATTACGAGGAAACTTTTAGTAAATATTGTAAGTTCCCACTTTATGCGAATTCATCTATTAAAACTTTGCCCGAATTGTTACAGATTTCAACAATAACTTTCGACAAATGCAAGGAGACAAGCGTAAATGTAATAATTCAACTGAGACGCTACTGACCCAGAAAACAAACTGAACGGAATAGACCTTAACTGGTAGCAACTATGAAGAAACGAATAACTTCGTTTGCGAATTTCTGCGCGGGAAAAACCATTACGAAAAAAATCATTAAAAATTAAAATCATTAAAATCACGAAATCGACGATTTCGTACGTACAGAGAATTATCGGCGTTAAGATATTTGTTTACATGCACACGTACGAGTCTGTTCACCGAAACCGCGGGCATCGCATAAATGCACCGTCATTCCGCTCGAATATTTCGAACAATTATCCTGAGTTGAAAACATGCGAAAACTTTTCCTCGTTGCCATGCAAAATGCTCGATTTTTGCTCTCGGCCAACTATCGCTGCCGCGATAAACTCTTGATCTATTCGAACGAACTATGAAGACCACTTGCAGTCGTCGGCATGCACATCTTTTTTTTCGGCTCGTTCAATAAGTAACATTATTTGTTTGCGACGAACTTTGACCCGGGGGAAAAATTTCCGGTGGGTCATCGACGACCCGCGATACGATCCATCTCACTCCGTTCATCGAACGTCGTCGTGGCAGGCGTCTCGTGGTAGTCGAGTGTCGCCGCGCTTCCTCTAGATCGCTGCCAACGCGAAATGCAATAAACACGATTGCACAAACTGCCGAGATTTTAATAGAAGACCCGTGGCATTTGTATCTCGCTCTGTACACCGTACCATTGCCTCGAGAACTCGCGCAATGTGAAATCTTTAAAATCTCATCACACACACACACACACACACAAATCAAGGTAATCTATTCTATCTATATATTCTAATATATATATACATTAATATAATCTATTCTATCTATATATTCTATCTACTATATTCTAATATATATATATATATATATATTCTATCTAATATATTCTAATATACATTAATATAATATATTCTAATATATATTAATATAATCTATTCTATCTATATCAAGGTATTCTATCTCTCAAATCAAGCTCTTATCGGTTTTATGGGAACCAGACGATAAAAATAGAACAATACTATTGTGTCTCTTTTAGACGTTCTCTTTATTTTTGTAGCGCTCCCTCAATATTGACAACCATAATGAACGATGCTACGAGCTATAACAAGCTCAACGACAAACGCATCGCCGCTCCCATTCAAAACTCCGAAGCGCGGCCTCAATGGTACACACCGCGACAAAACTGTAGGACGCTGTCGAATTTCTAGCGTTTCTTAAAAACCACGGACGTG